TTTTGCCACTTTCAAAGGCAGACCTCCTCGCGTGAGGAAGACCTGTTGAATCGGTAACGCGTTCACTGCCTTATCTGTGTAAAAAGTTTTAATGGCGGAGATAATAGTTTTATGGTGTCTAAATTTCCTATTTCTTGCCAAGTCACAAGAAACCCACAGTCAAGAAGTGAAATTGTGACTAAGAGAGCTGTTTCGAAATGATGACGTGACACAACGTACAAACTTTTAGGACGGGAAAATCTACTTTTAATTCAAGTGTGCAGCTGCGAATGTGCAGAGGAAGTTCACTGGTCAATTTTTTCACCCTGAAGAGTGACTAGCATTTACTTTTTCCTTACAATATCAGCCCTGAATGACAAAATAAGGTCATGAGAATAATGGAAATGATTAACAACTACAGAAGCTCAGGATCGTTGAACCAATTCTCCTTGTTGGCACCTTAGGAATTGTAAAGAGAACAGTATGGAGAATATGCATACTGATGTTAGGGTGTAAAGGGTTAAAGAAAGTTTTGCCAGAAAACTCAACCAAGAGAGTAGTTTACGGATCAAAACCGACTTTTCGATCCGGAATCCCTTGCGCTTACAATTTCTGCCTCTGTCAAGAACAACAACTTAAGTTATTATTTGATATGATCCACAGGTCCTTCTTCAGTCAGCCAGAATGCTGTTTAGCTCCGATAACAAAGATGTGTGGGACGTCGTTCAACAGGTAATAATTATTGGATCAATATCTGAGCACTTACCCTTCCCCCGACCCAAGAACGGTCAACTAATAACAAGTTAGTGTTGTTTTCTGGCTAAGGGAAGGGTAGGTGCGCAGTTGCGTAGGTACTGACCTTGATCCGAATTATTTTTAATGTTGTTGTTGTTGTTTTTTTTTGCAAGTGATTCACGGTCGATTTGTCGCCGGTTTTTATCTCACTATGCTCTCCAATTGGTCTGTGAAACTCGCGCCTTTTCATCTAGTCACTTTACTGCAAACAGAAGCCAATAACGAGGTGTTAACTGTGATCATCACGCTTACTCAAAAAGCACGCTACTACTAAGATGTATTCAGATGTCTGTGGTCATCGCAGTAATCTTTAGTTTTAATTTTTTCCGCTTTGGCTCCAGTTTTCAAAAATAATATCAACGTTCGTTCTGTTGACTTGCACAAACCGTTGACATGCTCAATCCGTAGCAAACGTGGGCGAACGTTAGCTACCAAGACGCAAGTATTAATAGCTGATTGTGATAGTGTATGAAAAGCACACAAAATTTTTCTTTAAATTCATTTGAATATTGCTCCTAGAAACAAATGACCAGTGGATTGTGACCTCCTTGTTTATATTGACACGAGCTCGAAGGCACTGGCAGTGAGGTCGAGTTTTGTTGGACCTGTAGATATTTTTATGTACATTTAACCCTACTACTACCTTTCGTTGGCCGTGTAAGCCTCTTATCTTGACTGCTGTTACTTTCAATTTGACAGCACT